TTGTAGCGCTATGTAACTCACTGCGGAAAGTTCTTCCAAGTCTTGTGCAACAGGCAGGGCAGAAGACTTGGAAAGCTGGCTGGAAGCAGGGAGACAGGGACACAGCTCTGTCCACAGAGGTTGTTGGTTGTAAATATCTCCTTATCTGCAGAGGCAAAAGACTATGCACAGCTGTTTGTTTGCTTGCTTTAATTCAAAGTCAATAGAAATGGTTGAAATCCTTGGTCTTGCTGTGTAGGCTGGAAAGAAGTGCTGGGCAAAGACCTTCTGGTGAATGACCCTTTAATGAGTTATGACCCTCAAATAGGGAGAAATGACCCCAAGCTCGCTGTGGGTGAGACTGCTGGGATGGAGGAGCTTTTGGGAAGCTGGGAAAAGTGCGAGAGTGAAAGCCGTTGAGGAAAGCAAAGCGAGCTTAGGAAAACAGACTCCTACAACTTTTTTATTTAAATTTACTTCTTAGTGTTGCTGTCAACTCTGCCAGCATTAAAATCTGCTTTTAAATTATAAAACAAACGGAAGCCAAGAAGTTTGAGGCTTTTGACTGTATTCACAGCTAAGCAGTGAAAAACAAATCAGTGTTATCAGCAGCTCGAAAATTTTCAAATGCCTGCTTGTAGCAGGTCAAGCAGTCTCAATTTTCTAGCTGTATAAATCATTGCTCTATCTGTAGGGAAAAAAAGGGGGGGGAGGACAATATCTATGCATTTGAGTAGCACATATGTATATGCACTTGAAATAAATATATAAAAATTGTACTACTATGTGATTTTCAGGAATAAAAATGTAAACAATGTATTAAATTGATATTAAATGTATTTTTAATCTAAGTGTTGAAATCAAATCACTTCAATACTAGGCTGTTGCTCAGGAGTGAAATGCATCAGCTGACCACGGTGTCATTCTGTCTCTAAGTCTTCAAGTTTGCCTTATTATGAATGTTCCTTTTGTCCTCTAGCGTGGTCTCTTGTGAGATATCAAGCAACTGTTTGTTGAGCTGCTTCTGCAGGTCTGTGCTTAGGGCTGCTGCAGCTCTGCTGCTCTCAAGTGAGACATGGGGTAGGCAAAAACTTGGGGAGGATTGATGCGCTGCAGGTGGACCTTCCTGCAGGAGGGGCAATTGACTCAAGGGCGGCTTCCTTGAGCACTAACTTTCTCAAAACCTTTGGTCTTGTTGCCAACAATCGGTTTTATATAATTACCATAGCCTGTAACAGGCATTGAATTATTTTATTGTGCACTGCGACTGCTTGCTAGCCACGTATTTGGAAGGTCACATCTAGGGCAGCCCCATGTACTTTTGCTTGGCCATGCTGAGTATGCCAGTGTGTTCTGTTCTGCTTCCTAAAAATCCTTGCATTTTTCTCAGGTTTCTCCTTTTTTGTTCTGTTTTTGTTTAGCAGCGGCTAAGCCTAGCAGTTTGCAGCCTTTGTTTACTAGTAAGCTTGAACTAATCTCAAGATTCTTGAGGAAGAAAAATCAGAAAGGGAAGATGTGTCGTCAGAGCTACTGAATGGTTTGAATTAGGGCCACAAAATGAAGGAGTAGAGGAAATGTGTATCAAAGAACATATCTGCAATGATTTTAGTATTGCATATGTTAGATTTAATTCGGTCATAGTAGAAAATAAAGATTTGTTTAGAGTRTATATGCTAGGTTTTGTGAGTTTTGTGCTGCAGTTTTACTTGGTCTAAAAACATTTAAAACCTACTTTTGTTACTGCTCAAAGGGATCTAATTGGTGCAGTAATTCGTACAATGGATGAGCAATTTCCCTAATTGTTACCAGATTAATAGAGCATATTGATCTAAATGTACAGCAAAACTTTACRTAGCTTTTTGAAGCTGTACAAGTCRGATTGGTAATGTTTGACCCCACCTGCCAAGTGATTTTTTTGGGCTCCTAGAGTTATGTAGCAATTGCATGGCTTCATTCATCTGACTGTACAAAATTGCAGCTTTCTTTACTGTCTTCCACTTTCTCTGMTTGCAAATAAAACACAACAGTTAGCAATACAAGTAGGAGTATCTGGTCAAAAAGAAAATCTATACTTTGGATTTTGAATTGGACAGTGCTCTGTACGCATTTAGTGCAGTTTTCACCTGCGTTGTAGATAAGCCTGCATTCAAGTGTCATCACAAGAAAGCACAGATGATGCCTAGAGTTGTTGTCTCCATCGTACTGACTTGTTGCTTGCAGATTGAACCATTCTTGCAGCTTCAAAAAGCTGTGTATTCTCAAAATTGTGCATTTTTCCTGACACTTAGTTAATACTGGTGAAATGCTCCATAATTCATCATTGTTTATGTCATATGAAAGAATAATGTGCTTTTATTTGTGCTTAAAATAAAGTAGAAGCACAAAGTATGTGGTGTTTGTTGTGTAGCTGTTCAAGAAGATCACTGTAATAATTGCGTGTGTACATGTTTATACATACATTTTTTGCCTCTCATCTTGCCAGAAGTACAGGCTTGTGGCAGTGAATATTTTTGGCTTGCACATCTGGGTGTTGCTTCTTCCTACTTCAGGTGTTTTGCATGCACTCCATTCCTGACTGATGGTTTCCAGAAAAATTACCTGTTTGTTTTTTCTTCCTTCTGTTAAAGCAACTCTTTTATCTTTTCTGCATTGAAAGCCCATGGTGAATCTAGCAATTTAGCTTTTACCTCGTGTTTAATCTGTGTTTAAAGTGTTGCGGCTACTGCCAATCACCTAAAGTTTGTATTCTTGAATATTTACCAGTGAATATTGGTTTTATATGGCCAGGAGTGTTGAATATGAATTATTTGCAGGAATATTTACTCTGTGTAATAACTTCTTACTTTTGGGAGTCATTCATGACTAGTTATGCTAAAGGATTTGGAGCTTCCCTCCTATTACAGGCTTGGGCATATTGCCTTTAARACAATAGGAGTCCATAGGTCTGTTTTACATGAGTAAAACCATGAGTAGCCAGTGAGAGGACAGGTATTGAAACCCAACATGAAAGAGTGAATTATTAGAAGACCGAAGGGATTTTGAGTTCCTGATCCCAAGTTCCAGCCATTTTTTGTTCTCATGATGTACATTGCCAGTGTCCAGCCTTCTGTGGCTCCGGTAGAAGTCTCTTTGCAGTGCAGACATTCAGTCTGCTTGCTGTGAGGTTAAGAGTRTATTCCAGTAAAAATGTGTTTTATYAGGAATATGCTCACRCAAACATTATTTTTATGGCACAGCTGTGTCTGTTAGCTGTTGTCTTGGTCAGAATTGACTGTCTCTGCGCTCTGGATTCCTAGAGCAATGAGGACAGAAATCTGTAGCAAAGRTCTGGTCTTTAGAAATGAATCACCTAGCAAGTTGGGTTGGGGGTGCTCTAAAAGCAAAGCCACCTTTCTGTTGCCACCTTTACAATTACAGTCACTAGATCGATGCTTCTCTTTGGAATRCTACTTTTAAGGAACAGCCTTTGTAGCAGGTGAGCTGCTCTAAGCCTCTTACTTGTGGAGCTGCATTATAAAAGCATAACAAAACCAAAACCCTAAATTTATTTTACGTTTAGAAAATTTATTAAATTCCAAACCAAGGATTTGTGGCTTTCCAAAGCATACTGTTACCTACTTAAGTCTTTGAGCATTAAGTAATTTATAGTTTCCCAAGGTACTAAACCAAGTATCTATCACATTATATGTCCACCCACCTGGCAACCACCACATGTAACTTGCTTCCAGAACTTGCCATCTGTTCTGTTAATTGTTGTGACTCRTCAGATTTTGCCACATATGCTTAATACCATTCCCAATATAGTAAATCAGTCTATAGCACCTTTGCTGCCTGGACTGGATAACCTCTCCTTCTCCTGGTGGTTTGAAATTGTTGATGTTGTACACGGATGCAGAGGGTCTGCTACACTGAAGTATGGTTTGCTCACCTTGTATTCCTTCCTGTATTTTTACAATACTATGACACAAAATATTTCACTGATTTGTTTAAAGTACTAACTAGAGAGGTTAAATTACTATATAGATAACTATGGGCTTTAACTATATAGAAACATTCAGATGCCAGGACTTGATTTATGAAATGTGGTTTTACTCTGAAAATTATCAAGTGCTGTGTTTGGATACAAAATTCTCCGATATAAAAGCTGTGTGATTTCACAGCAAAAAACTAAATTCCTTGCAAGATGGTCAATCCACTGTCAGGAGAGGTTTCAGTATGATCCCAAGAGCGAGATTAAGATTTGGAGTCAAATGCCATATAACCTTGTAARCTCTATTCTGATAGCAAACAGTAATTGCAATAGGACAGAAAGAAGGGGGGAGAAAAGGTACATGAGCAAATGGGGGAGGTGCAGCACRGTTAGTTACCACCACCAGTCCAGCTATGTTTTGTTGGCTCTGCCTCAGTGCAGGTGATGGGCTCTTAAAGAGGAGTTCAGGGAGGGAAAACAGAAGTGCGCCAAGGGAGGAACGCGCATCCTTTTATTGTCCCAGTGCTCCAAGAATCTGCCCACTTTCTTGACATTTTTGGTACGTGCTATCCGTGCTGTGTGCTCTGGYGCTCATGGTGGTTTCCTCTCCACCTGACTTGTGCATAAGCGCAGCTCAGTAGGCACTGCTGAGAACGGCCTTGTTCGGGTCCCAACCTGATGCAGCGGCCTTACCGGGGACAGGATGCTGAGGTCAGGAAGCTGTAATGGTGCAACAACAGTGCCGAGACAAACACAGTCCAGAACAGTCGCTTACAACAGGATGCCGAGGTCAGGAAGTGTAATGGTGTGACAACAGTTTTGAGTCAAACGCAACCAAAACAGTCTCTTACAAAGTATAATTACATTGCTTTAGAATTGAATTGTTGCCTCTTTAAAAACAGACACAATCTTCTTGATTTTTCCAGTTGACTTGCCTTCTGTAAAGGTAAAGACACCTGTGTCTAGTTTGCTTTTACTTTTATCAGATGTGTTAGTAAAGAGATGAGTTTTGACAAAATATACACCTCGTAGTAAGACTGCTGCAGCAGATTTCCAAAATCATTTGCAAAACAGAATATTGCCGTCAGTGGATTTTTGCCCTAAATAATAGAATTGGCTAAGAAACTATTATTGTGTGTGACGCTCTTGTAGAATAGTATTGTGTTAGCAAATTTCTAGAAAGCAAGCATTTGGAGTTAAAATATCAGACAAAGGAAGAGTAATTAAGGGATATTTTGTGTTAGCACGTGTGCCAGGAGGGTTGCATGTTTGCAAAACCATTTGAGTTAAAGACATTGGAAGTAATTGTCTGGAGCTGTATTTCYTGTCCAGTTACCAAATAAAAACAGTAGGTAAAAGTGTGTGTTGCTGCCTGTCTGCAGGTATTGAAACAGTGAAGATTCTGTTTCCTATTACTGTTATGATGTTCTGTGTTTTTTGTCAACAGCTGAGAAGAAATATACCAGTGTACCCTTCCTGGAAGGCTTCTCAGTGTGTCTTTAGTTCTTCTAAATCAGGACTGATGCCAAACCTTGCCAGTGAGGGGGCTGTCCGTGCTCCGCTTCAAACATTCACAGAAGAGGAGATAATGCTGAAAAATATGGGTACCTTTTGTCTGTGTGTTCAAAATTAAAATGGCATGGGGAAGTTTTAGCTTATTTCTTATTTGCTTTTTGCCTGAATATCAAGATTGTTGAGCGTGACTGTTTAATTTTAAAACAGCTTCAGTTCATAAGAGAAAAAAGCAATATTTTTTGGTTCTTTTCCTCTATCCCAAGCTGTAGTACAACTTTTCATAAATATGTAGTAACTTCCTAAAACCATTGTTAATATAAAAGTGATGTTTCATGCATTGACTTGTGTCTATTCCAAAATTTTCGGTTCAGCTACGTTGAAATCTCTGAAAGCCAACAAGAGCAGTTAACGTGTACCCCGTGAGTGACAGATGTGATCAGAGAGTGTGCATCCATCAGGCCTATGTGAACATGGTGCTTTAGAAAGAATTTTGAAACAAAAGGGGGAAGCAGGGGCCTGGCATTTGGGAAAGTTCATAAAAGACTTGAGCTAAACAAAATACATCTTATTTACAGAATTTTGTATACTTAAAATACCTTGCATTAAAACCTGAGGCCATCTTTGCTAAACGCAATTTATAGAGAAAAAGATATCTCTAATAGAGTAGGAAGTATATTTGAAATACTTTCTTTTTTTAGGGGTGGAAGGTCAACTAATGTCACAGAGTAGCTGAGATGCTTTTATGGTTTCTAAATCTATAAGTAGTACTTGTTCAGAGTTTTTCTAAAAGTTCAGAAAACGCTTTGTTAAATGAGCCTCATGACACTGTTTTAGTGGAGCAACTTTTTGGTCTTCAAAGTCTGGGAGACTCAGGGAATCAGAAATGCTGTATTGTTGTTATATGGGTCCCAAAAAGGAGTTTTAGAATGCTTATCCTATTTCTTTCTCTTTATTACAGTGAAGAAATTTGCTCAGGAACGAGTTGCACCTTTGGTGCAGAAAATGGATGAGAATTCAAAACTGGAAGAATCTGTAATAAAGGGATTGTTTGAGCAAGGGGTCTGCACACTTTTCTTAATTCTTTGGTCAGAAAATTATGTTAATATAGACTAATAGCTGTGTACTCAGTTTTTTGGATGAAAAGTTTCAGGTATATAAATCAAACGAACTGAGCCATTAAAAATTGTGGAATTGTCAACAGAGGGGTAACTTTTTCTACTACATTATCACTCCTTTTTACTGTCATATTCTGCCAGTCTCTTCTATTGCCTGTACTACGTTCATCACCTTAGTTTTGACTCTTCTATCTCTTCTTTTTTTTCCCCCCTCTCTCAAATAAGCATAATAGTGCATAATCCTAGAATTGGCATGAGTCTCATTACAGTGTTGCTGGAAAAGGGTTCCAGGAGAGCTAATTGGGCAGCCAGTTACTGCAGACAAACTATTGATTGTTCCTAGAATAAATTGAAATGAAATCTCAGAGGTTTTTCTGCTATCAAACTTAGAATCTATGGTTAGAATGTCATTTTACACAATGAAAATACTAAGTATAAGACTTAGTGCAATTCTTTCACTGCAATTAGCCATTGCAGTTATTACAAAAAATATATTTGGATTTCGTAGGGTGATGATTGGCCTGTTGCACAGGCATGGATGAATATTTTTGCATGAATAGGCTATCAACTTCTATGAGGAGTTGTTAGCTTGTTATTCTTAAAGATATTGAAGGAAAATAGGTTTTAGGCAGGAGTATGTATAGCTGTGTTTTGTCTTAATCTCTTTAGTATCAGCTTGAGCTAAGAAAATTTTGACTAATGGGACAAATTGTGTATTTGCACTCTTTTAGCTGATGAGTATTGAGCTTGGGGAAGAATATGGAGGGACTGGAGCTTCATTCTTTTCAACGATATTGGTAGTAGAAGAACTGGCCAAAGTTGATCCATCTGTAGCTCTTATATGTGAGCTCCAAAATACACTCACCAATAAGTTATTTACCTTATATGGATCAGAAGAACAGAAGAGAACTTACTTGCCCAGAGTGGCTAAAGATACGGTGAGTTAAAGTGTCACTTTACTAAATTGCAGTTTTTAAGTAGTAGTGTAATGTTAGCATATTTTCCTGTGATTAAACGGTCAACTGCAGCGTTAGGAAATAACTTCATTTATGAACTCAAAACTTTTTTTAAGAGCTCAAATTTATGGTGATATAAATATGGCCTGATCATTAGCAGCTGAGAGGTAAAAAGTGGCACCTCGTTTCATTGAGACTTAATTTACTGTGGAAAAGAACTTTAAAACAGTTGATTTTTGAGGTGCTGTAACTGTACGGTCTTTATATTCTTAATCTGCACCTCTGCATCTTAGTTACTTTGATGCAACTTAAAATATTTGATTTTTACAGGCTTGTGTTTCATTATTTTCTTTCAAAGCTTGTTATGTATGCCAATATATGCAATACCAAGTAATACTAATTTTTCTGTTCACTTGATAGATAGGCAGTTTCTGTCTTTCGGAGGCTGGATCTGGGAGTGATGCATTTTCTTTGAAGACTCGAGCTGAAAAGAAAGGAGACTACTATATCATCAATGGCTCAAAGATGTGGATTAGCCTCGCAGAACATGCAGGATTTTTCTTTGTGATGGCAAATACAGATCCTGCTCTGGTAATTCCCTAAGGAATAGTTTTATTTTCAGTGACAGATTATAATATACTATTGGATTTATGTAAATAATTTATTGTTAAAGGTTTCTTTGCACCTTTTCCTAACTGAAATCAACGTTTTATTGAGAAATGTTGTTAAAGGGGAGAACCTGCTGCACAGTTTAATGCGTTTCTCCCACCGAAGGGAATAGTTGAACACCATGTTACTTTCTGAGCTTGAATACATTTGTTTAAAAGATGGGTGTTCCATAAACTGAAAATAGATTTGGTAAAATAGTTACCGTATTCATCAACTGCTGATCAGTGTCTCATCTGGAATTGCTTCTTTAATGTATTGTATGGTTTTTTGTAAAACATTATATTTTTATCTTAATGTTCTAAATTTGCTTTTGCTCTTAAATATTCAATGAAGAGGTCTTACTTGATGATTAAGTAAACAGTTGATGTTGATAAAAGTGATGGGAGAGGAGACTGCTGTGGAGTGTTAAATACACACTTGGCTATAGGAGCTCCCACTTGGTGAGATAGTTTGTCATTAACATGAGATGTGCACAAGAAAACAGCAGGCTGACCTTTAAGAGACAACCCTTCTAACCCTACTGTAAAAATGACAGCACTTTTCCTGCCTCTCTGTCACCCTTTTAATGAGAGGAGCTGCTGTGCTAGGGACAGGAGGAGATGGTACCATGGGCAGGAACACCTCGTGTTAAGAGACACTGTGTTTAAGTGACGTGTATGCAAGTAGAAAGCAGTAGCTGCTGTGCACAGCTGACTCACTTGCCCAGTGGCTTCCTGTGTAGACAGGTACAATAGAAGACAGCTGCTGTCTTTTTCTCATGGTACCAGTCCTTAATTGTATCACAACAACTTTTAAGTTATTGTGTGTTTGTTTTTCCCATTTTAATAGATCAGTGTACTTTGGCCTTCAGTAAGCTATAATTATTCCACACAGAGGGGACAGATGATGGTGCTTTATGTAGTAATATGATATTAAGCAAGTGTAAATTTCAATATGGGAATGGTATATTTGAACTTTATCTTTTTAAAAGTTCTTGATTATTTTTTAATTCACCCTAGGGATACAGGGGAATTACATGTTTCATAGTAGATCGCAACACAGAAGGACTACAGGTAGGGAAGAAGGAGGATAAACTTGGAATTAGAGCATCTTCTACCTGCCCAGTAACATTTGAAAATGTTAAGGTATGGTAAGTAGTTTAGCTGTTGAAACATAATTTGTGTATTAATAGAGTATGGCCTTATGTAAGAAAACAATGTTAAAAAAAGTGTTTTTTTTTCCTCTAGACGTACTGGTTATTTGTCTTTATTTGACTTTCTTCCCAATTCTTTCACAAAAAAAAAAGAGGAATTGGATTTCTTACATCCTGATATAATTTTAAACTTGTGATTTAATTCTGAATAGTTTTCTCAATCAGTTTATAGTCCTGCATATTGGGGAAGGCCTTAATCATGTAAGGAAGTAAATGCTGGTTTTATATTTTGTGCCTTCATTTTATGCCTTCATTTATGAGGAGCATTTGATTCCTTTGTGAAACCTGCTAGCAGATGTACAACTGAATAGAATAGAAATAACCAAGCGGTTTTGTCCTCTAGGTTCCTGAGACCAGTGTCCTGGGACAGGTTGGACAAGGCTATAAATATGCAATTGGAATGCTAAATTGCGGCAGAATCGGCATTGCTGCCCAGGTGGGTAACACTGTTTAACACTTAATTATATGATTTTGACTTTGGGMTGAAACCCATGAAGTACTGTAAGGGTTTGCTAAGAATAATTATTTAGAAAATACTTCATGAAAAAAAATATTTTGCCACTAGATGTCACTATTCCTGTGTCTAAGTTAGTGCAGCAGACAGAAACAACTATAAATGCAAAATTCTACTTCAGCAATAGGAGCTGTATATTTAAGAAACATTAATTGGCAATTAGTTTGTCTTTGGTTAACTATTGCTGCTGAAGTATGTTAATACCGTTATCTTCCAGTATGTTCTAGAAAACTATTTGGAAAATAAAATGTACTAAAAAGTGTGGCAGTGTAGCTTGTCAAGTGTGATCTTATAATCAAGTTACTTTAAAGTCACAAAAATATAAGCCCTTGTACCACTCTTAAAGTTTTTTTGGTTCATTGCTGTGTTTGAGAATTGTATGTTGTGATGCCTTTGGGAAACGTGTGGACCTCAGAGTAATTTAGTGCTCGTTTTATTGTAAACCGCATTTGCATCCCAAACTGCAGTTGGTTTCAGCAAGTTGGATTCAGCCACGTGATAAAATAGCTTATGGCAAGTTTTTATTTTCAATTTACCTCTATATGGAAATGCAGCTAACAAATGTGCTGCTTCTGTTATTTATTTTGTCGTGTGTGATGTGCTGTAATGGCTGCAGTCTGTCTGTACTGCTCTTGTCCCTTATTTATACCAAGCCTGCAGACAGCCGGGGAGTGGCAGCTCATCATGAAGTTTAGGCCCTCCACTCAGCAGTGTGCTCTGCTTCTAACTGCATTGGCTTTTCCATCCTTTTAAAAGATTATCTGTGATTAAACTTTGCCTGATATGGCATTTAAAAACTGGAGCCATGGGCCTCGTTGATCCCAGAGGTACAAATAATCTAGATACTCTGGCAGTAAAATACATGGTCTGTATTTTACTCTGATTACTTCAAGTAACTTAATTAAAAGTTAAGGTCAGGTGGTTGTTATATTTTAGTTACTACTTTTGTTGGCACCATCAAATGAGGAGAAATGTGCTTGAATGAACAAGAAAGCAGTTCTAAAGCTCTGTAGTACTGAATTTATTTTTGCAGGGGTATATCTTAAAAGATAATGAACATCCTAAAAAATAACTGCAGCTATGCAAACAGTTTCAGTTTTAGTGCAAGATAGCTGTATGTATTGTTACGGATCCTGAAGCTGATATGTTTAGTTCATCTCTACATGTTCTGTTCTGAAGGAAGACAACAAATCTTGATAGTACAGCTAATTAACAGTGTACTGTATTGTTTTCATATGCTAATTTCCCATGTCCCCATTTTCTTTCCTTTTTTTCTAGAACCTTAAGTCATTAGGAAGCAGCAGTTTGAGTCCAGTCAGTTACACTTTTATCTCCTCAGGACCATTGACTTAGAGCTTAAAATGTCAGCCTGTCAAAAAAAGTATATTCTTCTACATCGTTAAATGTAGATTGGCATAAGCTGCTTGATAACATAGCAGATTGTCACCCTGTAATATCCTGTCTTAACTTAGTGAAATGGAAATCTTAAAACTTTTCCATTTCCTGTTTTGTTCTTTTTGGTTCATGTCATTTGTTTCTTTTTTATTTTTTCATTGTTTTATGTTTCCCTTGATGTAATTTTCTATTTTTGCTTCTCTTAAGGAACTAGGTAGCAAGAATACCTCCAAATGAATAGKAAGTTACAAAATGAAATCACTGATTTTATTTGCTGTCAGTGATAAATTTCAGACTGTATGAAAGGCAACATCAATTCTTTATTGTCTTTGAAATGGAATATGCTTCTCAAATTTGGTATTTTCAAAGTTGTAAAGCTTCTGATATACTTCAGATTTCATAATCCTTTTTTGTGCTCACCAATAGGAAACTAGGTAGATATAAATTTCTTTGAGTTTATCATGTATTTTTCCCAGATTATGTCCTCCAAAATTAGCATATAGCATTTAAATATTCAAGATCTATTCAAATGATTGTTGTCCTGAAGCAGGCATTGTTTCTTGTAGCGTCAATAGTAGAGTATGGAGTAATATTAAGGAAAAAATAAGGCTTTTAACTTACGACATTTGAGATCTGAGTATTAGGCAGGATGAAATCTGTTAATATTGTGCACTTGAGACAGCATTTCAGAGACTCAGAGCTCAATACTAATAGAAAAACAGCTAACTTTTTTATTTCTTAGTCAATGATTTTGATCCAATTCAACTAAGGAAGTTTTGGGTTACTATTTACTGTTAATGTTGTATATGAAACTTGCGTTTTTTTCTAGTTCTCTGTAAATAGGTATTCCTTAGAGTGAAGAAAGTGTGTGGAAAGACAGGGGCTTCTAAAATTATTCTGTCAAGGTGTTTTTTCTTCCAGAAAATGCTTGAACTAATGCTATTCCTCCTTTACTATACTAATTCTAACTTCTGAAATCAGTATTTTATCTCCTATAAAAAGAGAAATAATTTTTAGCGTGAAAATTTTGAATGTCCTTTCAAACTCTGTTTTTTAATAATGTAACTTAGATCTGGGATTTAGTTAACAATATTCCCAGACACATTTAATGCTTGACAAGTCACACTTGTTAATCTTTTCTTAAAGATGGACGGTGTTTTTAAAAAAAATCTTGCCCTCAATAACAGGATTTTTCAGGAGTATGCGATAGGCTTCAGTCCACAAACAGTATTTTTGGTTCTGACTTACCTCAGTCCATGTAGTAATTGTTAGAACTCTGGCTTGAGAGATTCTGTACAGTTTTTTGTTATATTTTGACTTTATGTAATTTTTGATAATCTCTAGGTACAAAGAAAACTTTTCTCCTGAATATGAGGCTTTGTTAAAAGGGCAAACTCTCTCATCAGAACAACTCTTAAGTGCATTGGATATATTCAAATAATTTTTTTTTTTCTTACAGATGTTAGGATTGGCACAGGGATGTTTTGACCATACGATTCCTTATACAAAAGAAAGATTCCAGTTTGGGAAAAGCGTTTTTGATTTCCAGGTATTTGTTGGTGAATATATGGGAAGTTTTCTGCGAAAGAATAGTAGTTACCACAGTATGAAGTTACTATAATGAGTAATCTGATTTGCATAATCTATGCTATGCTTTATCTTGTGTCATATCTGATTTTCAATATTTGAATTATTTAAAAACGGATCAACATTTATTTAGTATGTAAAATATATAAATTTGCTGTATGCTTTTGTAAGCACTATATACAGCAATTTAAAACTTCAGTGCACAGTTCAAGTCTTTTGCTTGATATATTGCAATTGAAAATATTACACATGACATTGTTTTCCTTTCTGTTTTTAATCTCAGTGTTTTGAATGTTTCAGTTTTTTATATCCTTTTTTTATGATAGAGGAAATCATTTTTCTGGTGATCCTAGAAAACTTAAAGATGTGGAAAATGGATTGAATTATTAGATTTCCTGTCTTATGTAAGGGCATTTAGTTTTCTTGATATGTATTGTAAAATTAAGAAGACATAGCTGCGAAAATGATGCATAGTTGTGTAATTATAATTCCTATAGTAAGTTTTCTCATTAGAAGAAAATTACGTCACAACTGAAAAGAAGGAACATTAGAACTTAGTTTTAACTCATACAAATTTGAGGAAGCATCCACAGATAACTGTAAATTATTTTAGCTATGTCTTTTAAGTGAGAATTCAATTTCTCATTCCTCAAATTAGGAATTTGAGGATTTGACATCAAATTGTCTGGCACTTGGGGAGGAATAAGCCCAGGCATCAGTATTTGAGGATTTGACATCAAATTGCCCTGCACTTGGGGAGGAATAACCCTAGGCAGATTAGAACCCTAATCAGTACAGATTAAGGTTCGATCTGCTGGAAAGCAGCTCCACGGAGAGGGACCTGGGAGTCCTGGTTGACACCAAGTTAACCATGAGTGAGCAGTGTGCCCTCGTGGCCAAGAAGGCCAATGGGATCCTGGCCTGCATGAGGAGGAGTGTTGCCAGCAGGTCAAGGGAGGTGATTCTGCCCCTCTGCTCAGCTCTGGTGAGGCCGCACTGGGAGTACTGGGTGCAGTTCTGGGCTCCCCAGTATAAGAGGAATGTGGAGCTTCTCGAGAGGGYCCAGCGGAGAGCGAGAAAGATGATTAAGGGACTGGAACATCTTGGGTGTGAGGAGAGACTGAGTTGGGCCTGTTTAGCTTGGAGAAGAGAAGGCTGAGAGAAGATCTGATTAACATGTATAAGTACACGCAGGGAGAATGTAGGGAGGAAGGGGCTAAGCTCTTCTCATCGGTGGCCAGCGATAAGAGAAGGGGAAATTGGTTTAAGATGAAACACAGGAAGCTCAATCTCCAGGTGAGGAGCAACTTCTTTACTGTTCGGGTGACAGAGCAGTGGAACAGGCTGCCCAGGGAGGTTGTGGAGTCTCCTACTCTGGAGGTCTTCAAAACCCGCCTGGATGCCAGCCTGTGCCACATGCTCTAGGTGTCCCTGCTGGAGCAGGAAGGTTGGACTAGATGATCTGTAGAGGTCCCTTCCCACCTTGAACATTCTGTGATTCTGAATTTGCAGTTGCCTGATTGTAGCTTTGTTATTTTGACCCACATAAATATCTTTGCAAAATTTAGGGAACAGCATTAATGCATGATTTCTAGTAGGATGAAAAAAAGTATTTAGGAGCAAATCAGACTTCTAAATGTTTTTTTAATCATCCTAATATTTGGGTCTTTTCAAATAAGCCTAGTCTTATGTAATAATATCTACTATTCAGAGGTGACCCCCACCCTCTTATGCTCTTGCGTTGCACCAGTCAATCAAGTTCCCCAATGCTCCTGAGCTCAAGAGGAGGGAGGTGCACATGGGAGGGCAGTTCCTAAAAAGGAACTGACTCCATTTTTTCAAACTATAATGAAGATGCAGAGGCATTTGAAATATCTGGAACTTAAAGTTATTTTAGAGTATAGGTATGTTTCTCTGAAAGCAATGATTCTTGCTAGAAATTCCGATTAAATMCTAGCAATTAGTTCTGTCTAGCTCATGGCCTGCTTATTACAGGGGATGCAACATCAGATAGCTCATGTGGCCACACAACTGGAAGCTGCAAGGTTGTTGACCTACAATGCGGCTCGACTGGTGGAAGCAGGGAGGCCATTCATAAAGGAGGCAAGCATGGCCAAATACTACGCAGCTGAGGTAACTCAAGAGGGTTTTTTGTTCAGTCAGTTTATTCCACTGCTGTTTAAAAGTTGCTCCTGTTATGGAATGAGTGGGTTTAAATTCTAAGAATATTTTGCTGTGAAATCTCTGGACTTTCTTTTATCTCATTTCTCACTCTGGTATCAAAGCAGTCCACTGAAGAATAACCTACTAAAGCCCTAAATAAAGTTTTGAGAAATCGCACAACATGAAAAGAAAGTGAATTAGTAATTCACTCAGATTCTCTCAGTTCCTTTTGTGATTAGAGCAATGGTGTCAGTGGGACTCTTTGAGTCTTAATATGATTCAAATCCAGCTCTGTACAGGATTGCTTAGGTCTCTTCTCAGTTACTGTTTTGAATATTGCTACTATTTTTCATAGTCGCTTCAGACTATGAGCTATAGCAGTAGCAGTGAACTGTGTGTGCTAGAGTGAGTGACATGGGAGTGATTCTTGTTTGTATGTGAATTATAAGCATATCATTTGTGTTCTAAAATAGCTTGCATAAGAAATACAAAAATATCAGGCTTCATTATCCCGCTTGTTTTAGTTACTACTTCAGTTACTGTTTTGTTCCATTACTAGATTGTTTTTTCAAATACCTGTAAAGAGTAAAACTTACTACCACCTCTGTGAAGTTAAATGCTGATACTTTAATTCTGAAACTAATTTTTCCTAGGTTGCAACACTGACAACTAGTAAATGTATTGAATGGATGGGTGGAGTTGGATTCACAAAAGATTATCCAATTGAAAAATATTAYCGTGATTGCAAGATAGGTGAGTGATGCTTTTTACAGAGTATTTCTTGTATCAATARTATTACTCAACTTTGGAAATGAATGACTGGCTGTTTTGTATTTAAAACCCTTTTTCCAATACTGTAATTATCRTTGATTTAAGTGTTCAGATATAAAGAGATAAAACTTTAACTATAAGGCCTAAAGTGCTTGATTAGATACAAATAATACACATAATCACTTAATCATGTTTCATTGAATAAATTGAAAATTCAGCTCTTTAACCTGAAGAAGTTATCTGCATGGAGTTTTGTTTTCAAGATTTCCTTATTTAAAAATCTAATTTCTAGACCTAGTCACTTCATATTTCCAACAGTATTATCCTTTAACTTTTATTGTTATTGTTGATATCATTTTACATCATTTTTGTTTGTTATCTATCTAATCTATCTAATCTTCTAATTGGACTGTTTGAATAAGAACTTGATCTATCTTCATATATATACTGCAATTTTATATTCTTCTGACTTATATTCTTCTGATTTCAGGTACAATATATGAAGGAACTTCAAATATCCAGTTGAGCACCATTGCAAAAAGCTTAGCACAGGAGTACTGAAGCCATAAGGACTTTTTGACTGTTACAGAAATTATTCCACTGAACACTAATCACGAACTTTAGATTTGTCTGTAATGATAAAATCATAAAGGACATAAAGCATACCTTTTTGTTGGTGAAATCATACGGAAAACCATGAATTCCTATTTCATGATAGGAAGCAATGTGAAATCAGGAATTCCATATTGAATTTCAAATCATGTTAAAATAGGTAATTGTAGACCCTTCTGCCTGTGAATCTTCTAATATACTACATTGTTTTAAATTAYTTGTTTAGACTATGCAATGTATCTCCATTTTGAGATTTAAGAGTAAAAACAAAAGCAAATTTTGCCTAATGCAAAAGGATGTATTAAGCTGCTGTATTAAGGTATTGTTGCATAGAATAGAGCTGTTTGCTCTTGATGTCCTGTATTCTGTGCCATGGGGCACAGTAAAGGTGTGTGGGGAAAAAAGTGACAGTTTCCTCTTCCCCTGGCTGAGTGATGTCGACAGAGCTGCTGTAATTGTAGTAATTTTTATAGCAGTCCTTAGTGTATTCTTAAGAATATCTTGGTAATTAAGCCCTTCCAGCCTCAATTTGTAGTAGTGAATGGTAGATAATATCTACCTCCCTTTCTAGCCTTCTTCAGCTGTTAAGGGTTTTAATCTAAGGCACTATTTACAGTTCTCCTTTTATAAAAGGTTGAGCTGAAATCTCTGTGAAATGGGGTTAAGAAAGACCTAGTATCTTTGCAAAAAGACAAAGATACAAGGTAGGTAATAGGAATTCTGTAATATCACTTCACAGTAGCTTTTCCACGTTCAGTGCATTTTACATACTTTGATCCTCAGAGCTTTCCTGAGAGTTAGTTAATTTGTAGCTGAGAACTCTCTCAAGGAAGTCAATAGTTCTCGACAAAGAGAGCAAAGTGTTTCTCCATTTGAGATTTTTTCTCCTTTTGAGAAGAAAAGGGAGAATTTTTCATATGTATGTACATGTACTCACATGTGCATGTACATGTGTGCATRCACACAAACAAATATTTTTCTAGGAGGATTTGATTCTTGTCCCTTTCTACTTCAGAAGTRTTTTGTTTACTAAAGAAGTCTTGGTGTTACTAAGATAATTTTTCAGATACTAAGTTGTCAACTCTTGATTCTTAGTTTATTATCACTGATAAGAATTTTCAAATGTTACATTTTTTCTTGCTRCTTCTTTTACAAATTTAGAAGCTCATTTTTAAAACTTACTCGCCACTGAATCTTCCCTTTAAATGGGGCTTAGATTGTTAGTCTGAAGCTTTCAATTTTTTTGAGCAAGCTAGGGAGATTTGATGAGGTGTTGAGTGAAGCAAGCAGATTGCAGTGCATGGTATTATACAAAGAAACAAGCAAGGAGGGACAGCCCCGTTAAAGTTGTGAATTGTTTTCTGACTTGCTTTCAGCCTCAAAGGGAAGTAACTACTTTAGTGAATGCGTCCCTGCACACACGCTTTGCCTGTTTGTAAGCAAAGGATTAATGTCCTAATTATCCTCGTGCCAAATAAACAAGCACCTTTGATCAATAACTTGGAGATTTTCAAAAATACACAAATAGAAGGGTTGAATAGATTATTTCTAAAGGTTTTTTTAGCTGTATTACTAAAAAAATGCGTTTTAGATTGCTTGTGGGCTCTTTCAGCTCAACCCAACTGCTGAGGATATTGTTAGACCAGAATGAAGGCTATGGTCACTGCAACAGCTAACTACAGTTACTCTAGTCGGCATACTCAGCCTAAAATGAGCACAACTGAGCTACAAAATGTTAGTTCTATTGAAGAATAGACTATATTGTGCTAATGTCCTCAACTACATGTTAGCCTGATTTGCTAAAGTGAGTATCAGTTGATCAGATTTTTGATTCACACAGTTTAATAGGCCCCCTGGTCTGAGATCCTGCCCTTAGTCTAGCCCTGGAGTCCTGCATTAGTCTAGGAAGTAAGTGGCAGTGCTTACCTGAGTTAACACAGTGCTAAAAAAACCTGATCTGGATCAAGGTTTATGGAGAAAAATGCTTGGTTGTTGAAGAACTGCAGAATTCTACCTGCCCAAGGTTATATAAAACATCTGTCTCTTTGTGTAGAACTGTCAAGAATGTATTTTAAAATCAGGACAAATCAAAAGTGTCATTTCTTGCAATTGTAACTTTCATGCTGTGTTCCAGGAGTGCACCCAAACAGCCTTGTCGACCTATCAACAGTTCATCTGAGAAAAGGAAAGACAATCCTTTGATCAGTTTTATAGCTGTAAATGTTCTAGGTCTCTTGTATACATATATTGTATACTGTAAGTGCACAATGCTGTCTAAAAAATAAAATAAGCATTTTGTTTGGCGTTTTGCCAACAAAGAATATGCATGTATGAAATGTAACCACTGAGTTTAGTGCAAGACTGCATTTCTCTTTTGAAAGAGTACATACCACTGCCTAGCACTAGCTGTTCTGGTTATTAACTGGGAAGGGTTGACTTTCTCACACTGCCAGTGTTCAATTCCCCCACCACACTAATGCAGACTTTCCTTTGGGAAGAACAGTTGCTGTGCATTTGTGMAAGAGCTGCATTCCCATTGCGGGTTGGAAAGGCAGCGTGGATTGTCAGAAACCACACTTGTGCGTTTGGCACTGTTGGGCTAAGGGCTGTTCGTGGTGGTTGCTACATTGCTGATTGTAGGGCTGTGATTCTGGGGGGTGGTGCGGGTGTTGTGAAGCTTTTGGTGGTGAGGTGAGGACTTAAATCTGCTTCATGGATACACTGTATTTGTTAGCGTATTTTGTCTCTTTATGCTTTGGTCATCCCAGTCAAACTGATCTATAGTACTAGAATGTCTTCAATAATAGAATGTTGCATGTGGGCTTTTCTGGTTAGAGAAAAGAAGTATTGAGAATGTATACAAAAAAGTGCCTGAATTTGGTATGTAGCTAAATGCTGTGCTAATACAGTGCATCAGCTGAKGATTCTCAAGATTATTAATCCATCATTTAAAATCTGGGACATGATTCAATGCCTTTTTTTAATAGCATAGAATAAACAGAATGTGTGTTTTAGTACTGTTCTGGTTCATGATAATGTTTTAAGGCCTGTTTGCACAGAATGTTTTAACTACCACAAAGAAAATATCAAATACAACATTTTATATGATGATTTATATGATGTGTTCTTTTTTTGTAAATGAGAACTGTATGCTGTCCAACAGGTAGAGCACAATAACAGTAGGATGAAATTAAGGAAAGTATAAGTTAGTTGGATATGATGAAAAACTTAATGAGTCATTTTCATTAGATGGTAAAGTGATCTAATTAAGTTGAAAACGTTATTATTAGAGTGATACAGTAGAAGAGAAGAAGTACTTAAAGTACTGTGGGGATCCATTCTTCCTTGAAAAGGGAGAGGAGCTGCTGCTGTGCTAAATTAGAAGGTTCGTAGGAGAAGTTTTACATTTCCCATCTATTTGCCAAAGATTTGCAGGAAAAAGACTCATTCTTTGAGCCTTTTGCTCTTTAAAGAATTTTGCAATTAACATATAATTACATTTCCATTTGGGAATCTTTTAGTGAGAGACCCACCTTGGTTCTTCGTACCGAGAGCACCTAGATTTGAAATGCAGCCTGGTTCTGGGGAAGCTGGAGCTTGGAGCTTGTTGGTTGTGTACATGAGAACAGAAGAAACATTTTTCCTTCACCCCAGAATGTATCTACTGAACCAGTGTGATCTTCTATAAGAAGAGCTGTGTGAAAGTGCTTAATAGCTACCACAAATACTTTGTAAATACTACCTGTTACCTCTGCAAACTATTGGAGGAGGCGCAGATGAGAGCTGAAGGCAAGATGAGTGTATTATATGATTTCCCAAGAGTTGTCACGATTTGTAACGTTGTTTTGAAGCACTGTCGTTGCAGAGTGTTTTCCAAAGAGTTGTCCTCCTGTGCAGGATTTACCCCTAGATCTAGGTGAAGTGGAATGGCTGGAAGACGTAACTTTGCTGCATTTGGCTGCCTAGAGTTAAGTAATCATATGCACAGGATACATTCTTGTTTTGCTTCTAAGCCTTCTGAGCCTGGTTAGAAAGYCTTTTCTAATAGCAATAAAGATGTAGAGTATGAAAAGGCAGTAATAGCAATCTCTTATTCTCTTTAGGATCATACAGATTTACATATTTCTGGTCTTCCTCTTAAGTATCTTATTAGCTGCATTGCTACTAATTCTAGAAGGTTATGTACATAAAGATATCTCAGTGACTTCACTAAATATCCTAAAAAGAAGCCCTTCCTGCAAACGGAAAACAATCCTTCACTACCTAACTAGTGGTTTCAGAAGAACTCATTATCAAATGTGTGTAATGAGGATTTTAAAACTTCTGGGCAAATTAGCTCATTTAAAAAAAAAAAAAAAAAAAAAAAAGGATGTCTAGAGCAAAGAAAAATATTAAAAGCTGTAAGTACTGGCATGCCTGGTACTGTGAAAGGGGAGGAAAAAATTAAGAGCAACAGGAAAAACCTAAAATGCATCAGTAAATCCTTAACTTCCACATTACTGCCTTGTTTGTTTATGGGTTGCTTGATGAGGAAATCAGCATATATGGACTGAAAAGTGAATCCTCCTCTAAGCTGCAGAGCCAAGGTCTGCTTCCAATCTGTTTGAAATGTGACACAAACCACTGTCACAGTTTGACAGTTTTAAAAACATCTGTTATAAATCAGCAGATAAGGCAGGGCTGGCCTGCTTTTGATACGTTTAAACAAAAAAGAAATGTCAGCTTGCAGATACTAGCAGGACTTAAAATTAGCATCCTCTGTAAGATGTCTAGAGGGACATAATGGGAGAGCATCCATTGGTGCAAAGAACTGAAATGTTTTTTAGGGCCACATGCAAGTTGACATATTAAGAAATATTTGAAACTTTTCCTGCTACGGTCTTTATTTTCTGATATAAGTAGGACAGAGAATTGCTGAGCTGCAGTATGACCAGTTCATGTTGATCTGTACTCCAAGTCTTTCTAGGCCAGGTAAGTTTGGTGGGTTGGTTTTGAAAAAGCTTGTGATTTGAAGCCTGCAGAGCAGCTCTTGCCAAGTCTGTACTTCATGGGATGCAAAAAGTTGATCCATGTGTCCAGAGCTGTTGTCTGTCTGGGTCTGGAACTGTTTTTTTATATGAAGGCTTAGCTGAGGATTTTTGATTAATAAATGAACAGAATAATTCATAGCTCATTTTTTTCAGATTGATTGCTGTCAGCTTCTCGGAGGCTTCTCACCTGAGTTGTCCTCCAGGGCATGTGACAAGATGTTGCTGCTCACTAGACTTTTTCTGAAGATGTGAATTAATTGCAAAGTATTTCTATTTTTTAATGTAACTATAGTAATTGTACAATTTTATTTTGATATTGTCTCTGTCAGATTTTTAGGCTGTTTTAGGTGGTACCCAAAGACACGAAGATGGTGCATTTTATAAAGACATGAGCTGGTTCCTTGGGCCTTCTCTTCCTCCATAGGAACACAGAAAGCAGAGTGTGAAAGCTTAAGAGCACTAAAAGTTGCACAGGTTGTGCTAAAAATATTAGCTGAATAAGTTTTGTTTATGAAATCACTAACCTACCTCCAGTGCAGGACAGGCTAAGGTGACAAAGTTAACTTCAAATGATGTAAATGTGATGTTATATTGCTTTTCTGTTGCATCTAATCAGCAGCTTTGTGATAAATCTGGCAGACTGA